TGGGTCCAAGTACCCATGGTTATATTTTCAAGTGTCTAGAAAAAATATCTGATGTTACCACTTTTAACTTAACAAGGCAATCATACAATGAAACGCCTCCCAGTTTGACTGAAAACGGTCTGCAAGGAGAAAGAAAATAAGAAAGAAAAACCTTACAAGTCTCAGTGGGTGGACCCTCATTGCCTATAAATCACATGTGCAAAAGCTAGTCCTACACCTGTTTACATTGTGCGTTAGTTTCCCAGTGGTCTGGGCCTCTTGAAGGTGTTAATACTGGTAATGATGCTTTTGGAAAACATGTTGCCAAGATAAAATAACTTGCTACATATGCTTAATTTAGAGTTTTGGGAAATGGGGTCATGGGGCCATATTACATGCATCTCAGAATGACTGCTTAATTCACTTCTCTGTTGCTTTTTTATAGTTTCCTTACTTTGGAAGTACAATGTGTCAGTCTGCTGAGGCCTGTTAATATTTGTCATTCCATACATGATGTCAAGACATAACCCTGCTTAATGAACTCAGAGACCAAAAAGGACATTGTGTTGATGTGGTATTGCTAACATAGACAAGAGCTCCTAGTGATAGAGGTTTTATGTTTCAGGTTCATATATTTCATATATTATCCACAAAGTCACTGTTGCTCTATATTGCAGCGATTTCTCTGTGTTGCACAGATCTACAGATTTTTTTCGAGAAAGGTCAATGCAGACTGAGCAGGTGTTCTTCTTGCCGGTTGACTCTACTGTGTCTAACAATCTGCTGTAATTCTGAATGCAGTCGCATGTTTTTGATCTAACCACACGGGTGTGAGATGAAAAGAGCAGCATGGTGAGAGAAGAACGGCCAATGCTCAACGCCCACACCTTCACTCGCTTACTGAGTCTGAGACATTTCTCCACCATGCACTTCAAATACCCACATGTGCAATGTCATGTTAAAATGCCATTCTATAAATACATAAATATACATGTTGGGTCTGTTTCATGAGACCCTCATCTCTAACATCCTGCTGTGAATGCATTTCTTTACTTTGGTCTAACCACACGGGGTTCAGATGACAGCAGAGGCCCACACATTGTCTTGTTGGCAATGCACTGTGGTTTTTCAACCCATTACAAAAGTAGGCTATAGCCTATACTCACAAAATCTCAAATCACTTATGAATGCGTTTAAAAAGTCTATTTTTTCTTTGCTGTAAAAGAAAGACAAAGTGAAATATACGATATACACAATATATTATTGTGTGCATTTTGTTATACAGCCTGCAGTTTCATATTTTTTAAAGTTCTGACTCTGCTTCACGCTCATTCGATATTGCTGGCATTATTTGGATTCATTTTGATAGAATAGAAGGATTTTTCTCATTTCTGGTCAACATTCTAAAACAACCAAATAGCCAATATCACTTATTTTTGCTCTCACTCTGACTCTTCTTTAAGAGTGCAAAATGCATGTTACAAACCTTGGACTAAAGAAAGTTTACATTTGTAGTCAATCATCTAATTCTGGCCGTTCTGCCGTCCCGTTCCGTGTTGCAGGAGTCAAAATGGCATGTACAGCTTGTTCAGTGAGTGAAATGTAATTGTAAATAAGTGCAATGTAAATAAAACAATCACAAACTGTAATTTGCAGTCTTTCACTTATAGATTACGTCTTTAATCAATTCACAGACAGTTGCATTTTGTAAGAAATGTAATTGTCTTATAAATAGGATACATATAGGCTATACATACATACATACATACATTTTGACCAAGAAAATGTAGAAATTGAAGAATGACGCACGTACCTTTTTCAAACTAAACTTGTGTTCACTCATGGCTATACCTGCAGTAATAGCTTACATACAATCTCATGCAGCATTTATGAACAATATTTTGGAAAATTCTCATGTCCAAGCAAAATATTCCCTAAACATAACAGCTGTGATGTGAGATTTCCTCCAAAGAGAAAAAGAAATCGACAACATTATATTTTGGGGGGGTTGGGAGGCTCTCCGGAGCCTGTGCCCAATTCTGACTCCCTGTGTCAGAATGCATGCTTGCTGAATTCTGAATTCTGAAATTCTGAATCCTGTCAGAATGCACGCATGCTGAATTTGAGCCTGAAATAAAAAGTGTGTAAAGACACGGATAAAAGGACCTCACCATTACCTCTGATAATGAATGTCACAATTACCGCTATATGAACTCCAAAGAATTTTGGAAGAATTAATTGTATCACACTTGACAAGAGCGCTCTGTACAATCAGAACAACTTGGAGGCGACCTAGGCTACTACCATCACCAAAAATGAAGAGGAATAAGCAAATTATACAGCCTAAAACTGTTTTATTAAAATAATAATCAAATCAAATTTGCTGTATGTCATATGACTAAATCAACTGAGTTACAACAAAGAGTCAGATCAAAAAAGAAAAAGCCCCGCCTGCATCACTCCGGCTGATGTTCATGCGCATTCTGATTTGTGAACGTTCGTTTTCAATCTCTTTAAGCATGCATACACTGTAAAAAATGACCGTGAATTTAATGGTAAAAGACTGTAAATAGGTTGGTATATTAACATTATATCAGTTAATGAAATTACGGTATTTAACTGTAAATTTAAGTTAAAACCGTAAAACGTTGCTACCGTATTTTTTACGGTAAAATTCAAAAATACATTACAAAGCAGCTAAAATCTTCACATTTCTACACTTGCCGCGTTAGTGGATAGCGATATAGCCTAAGAGAAGTGCACAAGAAACCATTTGCGCGCAAAAGCCAGTTTGAGGTCGGCGCTAAGCCTCAAATCTTCTTTGCTCATATTACTAATCTTGCTACCCGCTCCGTTGCCGTGTCCGCTCCTGACCTATACCAGTGAAAGCCTGAGACCACAGTCTGGGTGATTATTCAGCATAGGCTACTGCTTGAATAAATGGCTCAGCAATTTTTGTTTAATTACACTCTTAAAAATAAAGGTGCTTCAAAAGGTTCTTCAAGCGATACCATAGAAGAACCATTTTTGGTTCCACAAAGAACCATTCAGTCAAAGGTTCTTTAAAGAATCATCTCTTCCTTGCCTTTTTATAATCTGAAGAACCTTCTTTCGCCACAAAGAACCTTCTGTGAAACAGAAAGGTTCTTCAGATGTTAAAGGTTCTTTATGGAACCATTTAGACAAAAAGGTTATTCTATGGCATTGTGAAGCACCTTTATTTTTAAGAGTGTAAGATACATGTCGGGACAGAATTTTAGAAAGCTGCAAAAGTGATTCTTCTATGGCATTGTGAAGCACCTTTATTTTTAAGAGTGTAAGATACATGTCGGGACAGAATTTTAGAAAGCTGCAAAAGTGGAGGGCTGCAGACCCTGGTTTTCAAGTGAATAATGAGATCTACATTTAGGCCGCTTTACTCAACGCGGAATGCGCACAGACGGAACAGGTGCGATGAGAGGACAACTCTCTTTCTGTTCCTCTGAGGGACGAATAGTGCTGCATTGTGGTGGGCAAATTTGATATTGAGAATTCGTTATCACGGGGTTGGTGTTGCTCCGAGATAACAAATGTGCCTTTGAGCTCTTATTGGCCTGTGTTTGAGTTTAGATGACCGCGAACGCTAAAATTGAGGTTTCAACCCTTTGGATTCACTTTGATAAGCAAAGAAGAAACTGAGGTCAATGAATTTGAACGAACAAATGTGCTGTCTCGAAAAAATCTGGTAAGTTTATGGTTTAATATTGATAAATATGTGTAAAAAAAAAAAAAATGCATGTCGTTTATTAGTAAACTAATTATTACCTGCATGGAATATAGTGTAGCCGTATGCCTTATTCTTCTCACTTTGAGTAGTTCATACTGCATTCAGAAGCATGTTTTGTATAGTTGACAGTATTTGCAAAATGCCTTAGGAAATTATTCAAAGCATTTGTATTAACAAAGCCTTTTTAAACTATAGCTTGTCACGTAGGCCTTACTGGTTTGTCTAATACTTGACATATTCATGTTCAAACTGTGACAGTCTTCCATGTTTGAGTCAACAACAAGAAAGAAAAACAGTTGACTCCCCACAAGTGACTGCAAACCCCTCCCTCATGTTTGCACCATGCACGCTTGCCCATATGATCAAATAAGTTCTCTATCATCATCCGGTTGTTAACAGGTCTGCAAAGTTAATAGGTTCTTAGTGGAGTACAGAATAAAACTGTAAGATTAAAAATATTGATTTGATTGCAAATTGTTAGCCGAAAGAGATAGAAGGTTCTAAAATAATTATTAAAGGCTTTTCAAAGTATACCTCAAAGTTTTATGTAATTCTTTATTATCCAAATTCATAATCTGGCATTGAAACAGTGAATGCTCCTTCAAGTGAGGCCTTCTCACTTAAAAAATAAGGGTGCTTTATTTGCACTGATGGTTTTATGAAGATCCTTTAATGTCCGTGGAACCTTTCTGCACAAAAGGTTCTGTATAAACAAAAAGATTAAAGAATAAAAAATCATTGAAAGACTCTAGGTGGAACCCAGGTTGGTTCTTCTGAATTCATGCATATTTTGGAATCTTTATTTTTAGGAATAGTTCACCCCAAAATGAAAAATTGCTGAAAATGTACTCACCCTCAGTCCAAGCAATCCAAGATACACTCTAAAAAATGCTGGGTTGTTTCAACCCAACTTTGGGTCAAATATGGACTAACCCAACCGTTGGGTTACATTTTTACATTAAATTTTTAACCCAAAAGTTGGGTTAGTCCATATTTGACCCAAAGTTGGGTTGAAACAACCCAGCATTTTTTAGTGTGTAGATGCGTTTGTTTGTTCATGGGAACAGATTAGCATTACTTGCTCACCAGTGGAGCCTCTGCAGTGAATGGGTGCCGTCAGAATTCCAACAATTCTCCGGATCGCCTGAGTGTGAGTAAATGTTCAGCAAATTTTTATTTAGATTTTTTATTGTGATTTAAAAAAAGAAAAGGAGTTTAGCGTGTTGTTCCGTGTTTTACGGCTAGGTGGCGCTGTTGTACAGTGCAGCGGTCTCTCTTCTAGTGGGCAAAGCGGCGTTTACTTATCAACAGCGTGGACACAATAGATAGACAGAGACGAGCTACATTTGAAAGAAAGAGCGAGCTCTGTCACTAAACACAGACTCGATGCTCCAGATTTTCGATTTCTTCGAGTAGTAAGTGTTCGTAATTCAGAAACAGACGGAGGACTATCATAACAACACCGGCGCGCAGCACAACAGATCCCGGAGAAGCACGGGTTTGATGTGAGTTTAACGTTACCAGCGTTAAATCGTTGCACAGCCTAATGAAGTGAAATAAATGGGTCGTTCTGTGTATATTACAATAAGATTTGGCAAATCCAAAAAGTACTGTAGTGGGCGATAACTGATAGTGAAGTATGTTTGTGGAGAGCGTGGACGGTTATCCGAATAATTTCAAACAGTTGAGTTGTGCAATGCAAACTATTGTGTCAAACAAACATTGACCGCGGTGGGTTAATGAATGTGTGTTCAGTTAACAGTGTAGAAACTTTGTCCCAAAATTAAATAAATAACACTGAGAGAAAGAAACACGTGTTTAGCTGTGTATGTCTGTGCAAGCAGGATGTTTTTCAGTCTTGCCTGGTTAAGTTGGTTGTTCTGTTGTAACGTGCTTGCAGAGCCTAGTATGCCGTTTTTGTGCCTTAAACTAACAATTATTCAGGTCTTGTACACAGTAGATAAATCATGTAGAGGCGCACATCAAGTTTGTTCTGAAAGGCATAGGCCTAGATTCTGTATAAATTCACATTTCCTTTATAAAGCCATGTGTCAGGTGCTAGTTCTCAATATCAGGCTGATGTTTTCATGCATATTGGACCTGCAGTAATGCACTTGTTTACTAATTCAGTTCAATAGGTAGTTATACTGCAATGGTGCCTACCTGACCTGTCAGTGTTGAAATACCAGTCAGTGAAAAACAATTTTGATCAGTTTAATACAGAGGTTTACAAAATACAAAACTTGTGTAAACTTGAGGAGAACTACTTCATGCATCCACTACCTTGAGATCAGCAGGTTAAAAGTCATTGCAAAATGATTCAGAAAAGTGTGATTTCTTAAGTTATTTCCGAAGAAGCTCCAGCTGCGTATTTTGAAACTAATTACGAAACTAATTTGAAAGTGATCAAATCTATCTGTCCTCTGAATATTATCCAGAGGCACAAATCACCTGTACTGTGCCGATTGTGTTGGTATTAGTCACTTTCTTCACTCATGTTTTCATTCTTCTCTCAAAACACATCAGAGCCTGCATGGCGTAGTATTACTGGCTATTTTTGTTTGCTGGATTTTATTCATTAAACACGTGCAAAATTATGTGGCATTCTCACAGGGCTTCCTAGCATGACTCTTTTAGCGTTATACTATAGTGCATTAGCTGCACACTGGCTCACACCTCATAACATCACTGCTGCCTGGTAATCACATCAGCTGTAGTCATGGCAACTGCATATGGGAATGAAAGCTTTCACTGGGAGAGCAATTTTCTTCTCCTTCACTGACTCATTGCTTTTCCTCCATGGACTACATGTTACCTGCTTGCACGCAAATGCCACCACCAGTTTTTCCTCAGGGTATCGCTGAATGCTCTTCCGGAGGCAGATTTTTCCGCTTCATCTTCACGTAAGGCTTATGTTGATGCCAGTGGCTGTTTTTTTTCCCATCAAGCTGTTTTTTTTTTCTTTTTAGACTCATTAATAGTTTTTGCTTTGCAGCATAGTTCTCAATGGCAGTTAAGCTTATTTTCCCTTCAGTTCTCATTATCGTGATGCACAGAAAAAGTCATATTCTTTGTTTATAGTTTTTCATATTCAAACAGTATTTAAATATATTAATACATCATGGTATTATTCGTTGTTATGCTATACTATTTCAACATTATATACGCTTTTTTTTTTTGCTCAGTAAAATTACTCTATTTTTATGAGAATAAACAGTGACAGTAATGGCAGCAGTAAAAGTAAACTTGAGGATGCATTAAGATTATGAGAATAATTAATTGGAGATAAAATGTGTTTAATTGTTTTGGGTTTTTTTTCCTGTTGATTTTGGCATGAAATGGGACCTGGACTTACTTACTTACTTGCTTATTTACTTATGTAAGTACTTATTTATTAATCGGGTTATATCCAGGGTTTCCCAAACTGAGATTCAAGAATCGATGGAAAGCTAATAATAAATTAATTATATAAAAAAAAAATGTAAAAAGTACTTTAAATATTACATATTTAGCTTGTTTACATGCATGTGTGGTCATTAAAATCAAACCAAAAACCAAACATAAAAAAAAAAAACATGCGAAAGAGTTGTTCAGCAAATACACAAAATAATGTTCTTTTTAGCAACATCATATGACCCCTTTAAATATTAACTTCAAATCTCAGGTAGTACTTCAAGTAAATATTTTAGGTCAGAGAGGTTCGGATAACGGAGGGAAAAAGGGAAACCGTGAGTTAGATGAGAATGTTAAACCTCAGTGGCAGCTATAGCTTATTTATCCCTTTAAGCTTCATACAATGGTGTGAAATGGAGAGATATTTGCCAGTGAGATTATTTTTTTCTTTTCCCCACTAGTTAAAACCCTCTCTCCCTTCATTTCTCATTTTCTCTGTCGCCTTTCTTTCATCTATCTGTGTGCGACAGGGAAAAACTGTTGTAAAGGGATACATTTTGCCCATTGGGACCACAGACTTCAGAAGTCCTGTGCTTCATCATGTTTTTGACACTGGGCTTTAGCCTCCACTCTTCTCAAAGGTCAGATTCTCTCTGAGCAGTCAGACCTGCTTTGATTATCGCTTGTTTTCCCCTCAGGTATTTCCAATGGAAAATGTCCCTGATTGGATGTTAGACATGTCAATTCTTAATATAAAATAGTGCAACAGTTCCAGCAATATAATATCTTAAGGCCATATGATTTGTCAGCTGTAAGAGTAATGAAATGGTTTGTTTGTTTTTTTTTTGTACTTCAAAGATGTCCATTAATCATGATTTGTCCATTCATCATCAGTGGTTCTCAAAACCTTGTCCTAAAAAGGAACTACATATGGGAAGTTTACAAAATGTGAAACAACATCTTCAAGTACTGGGTGAGAGGCATATGGATGTGAAAAGTGTCAAATGATCTTACAGTAAACAAGAAGAGGAACCCTCTCAGTTAAATGAGCCGTTGTTTTATCTTTAGACTCTTTTTGACCCTGTGTTGCTTCCATTCTGAATCAAATAGTGCTTGTACAGGGCTTGTGTGTGTTTCTGCATGCACCTAAAGCTTGTCATTTAAATTCTGTTGGCCTATAGCATGACAGAGGTGTCGATGTATCGTACAAAAACACTGCGACTCACAAGACAAAAAACACGAAAACACCTTTCTGTCGGGAGATAGAGAAGCCGCAGCGTGTGAACGCGCTGCCATCTTGAGGGAGAAGGCCTGTGATGTAAGGTTTGTTGTGTTTATCAGGCTTGCATGACTTACTACACTAGAGGTGTCACCTTTCAAGCAGTCCTGACACGAACATTGATGCCGGGTTGTGTATTATTTATCAAGTGGCTGAGGGCATTTTTGCACGTGTTATTGTCGGCTGACTTCAGTTCTTTACTGAATATTTTAGTATGTTATATTAAAGTGCCCCAATTATGCCATTTCCAGTATTGCCTTTCATGCAGTGTGTAATGTAGCTGTATGTGAATGTAAACGATCAGCAAAGTTGTAAAGCCGAAAGTGCACGATAAATAAAGTTATTGTCTCCCAAAATAAAGAATC